ATAAATACCAATTTATTGTCTAACCTTATGCCAACAGCACACTGTCTCGATGACTAGCTTTGTAGTAAATTTTGAAATTGAGGAATGCAAGTCTTCCAAATTTGCTCTTATTCAAGATTGTTTTGGCTTATTCTGCATTCCTTGCAATTGCATACTAATTTTAACATCAACTTGTCAATTTGTACTAAGAAGTCGCTTGGATTCTGATAGGGATTGCATAAATACGTAAATGGGAGATTACTGCCATACTCACGTGTCAGCTCTTCTCATCCTTGAACAGAGATGTTTTCCCACGGATTTAGATTTTCTTTAACAAAACAAAAATGATGTTCTATAGCTTTCAGAGCACTAGTTTTGCGGTTATCTTGTTCCTAAGTATTTATTCATTTTATCTAATTTATATAAGTTATTGGCATACAGTTGTTCATAGCATTTCTCTGTAATCCTTTTTATTTCTGTGAGGCTGACATCAGTGACCCTTCTTTCATTTCAGATTCTCATCATTTGAGTCTTCTCCTTCTCTTTCTCTCTTTTTCATGATCAGTGTAGCTAAAGTGTTATCAATTTTATTGATCTTTTCAAAGAGCCTGTTTTATTGATTTTTCTCTATTGTTTTTCTATTCTCTGTTTCACTTATTTGTGTCCTTTTCTTTATTATTTCCTTCCTTCTGCTTGTCTGCAGTGTGGAAGTTTAAGTTATTGATTTGAGACCTTTCTTCTTTCTTAATATATGTACTTACTAGCTATAAGTCTCTAAGAAGTGTTTTAGCTGTATCCTGTAAGTTTTGGTACTTTGTTCTTCACTTTCTTTCATTTAAAAGTATTTTATGATTTCCCTTTTGATTCTTCTTTGACCTTTTGGTTATTTAGGAGTGTGCTGTTTAATTTATGAATCCCAATTTTTTTCTGTTACTAATTTCTAACTTCACTCCATTGTGGTCAGAGAACATACTTAGTGTTCTATCCATTTTAACACATTGGGGTTTGTTTTACGGCTTCGCCTATGTTCTATCCTAGAGGATATGCTGTGCGCATTTCTGAAGCAGGATATTCTGCTGTTGTTGGCTGAGGTGTCTGACAGATGTCTGTGAGGTCTTGCTGGTTTATAGTGCCGTTCCTTGTGTCCTGGATCTTCTCTCCAGTTGTTCCATCCATTGTTGAAATTGGGATATTGAGGTCTTCAACTAATATTATTGTTTATTTTTTCCTTTATGTCTGTCAGCTTTTGCTTTGTGTATTTTGGTGCTGTTATTATTTGCATATATGTTTATAATTATTACATATTCTTCATGGATTGACATTTTTATTATTAAAAAATGTCCCTTTGTCTCTAGTAACAATTTTTGTTTTGAAGTCTACTTTATCTGGTGTTAGTAAAATATTAACATTTTATTATGGCTGCTGTTTCCATGATATATCTTTTTCTATCCTTTTACTTTCAATCTAGCTCTATCTTCTACTCTAGAGTGTGTCTCCTGTAATGAGTGTATAGTTTAATCTCAATTTTATCCAGTCTAACAATCTTCCCTTCGATTGTATTAATTAATTCACAATTAATGTTATTATTGATACATAGCTGATCCTCATTATTCGTGGATTTTGCATTTGCAACTTCACTTGCTCACTAAAATTGATTTGTAACCTCAAAGTCAATACTCACTGTGCCTTCACAGTCCTTCATGGACATGCATAGAGCAGCAAACATTGGGTGTCCCCACACGCGGGTTCCCAACTGAGGTCAAACAGCTCCACCTCTTGTTTCAGCTCATGCTGCAAACAAGTATCTTGTGCTGTCTATTTAGTGCCACATTTTCCATGCTCTTGTGCTTCTTATTGGTGATGTCACTGTTTGAAATGGTATCCTAAGTGCAAGAAGGCTGTGATGTGCCTCACAGGGAAAATACATGTGTTAAATAAGCTTCGTTCAGGAGTGAGTTATGTTGCTATTGGGAAGTGACTTCAGTGTTAAAGCGTCAGCAATGAATATTAAGTATTCACTGTGAAATAATAATGTATATTGACATATATATATGTATGTGTATATATATATACATATATATATATATATATATAATAAAAAATATATATGCCTCTGTCCCTGGTTCTTGCTAATATTTGGTCTTTGACTCTAGTTCCTGACATCAAGTTCCTAAATCCCTTGGAACTTCCTGGGTGGTAGGAATGATTTTTGTTATAATGAGGTGATTCTTAGTGGCTTCAGGATGGGGGCTGCTCACCAGAAAGACCAAGCTTTGATTAGAAGCTTGGTGCTTTCAGCCCCATCCCCATCCTCGGGAAAGAGGAGAGGGGCTAGAAATTGAGTTAATAATCAATCATGCCTGCATGATGAAGCCTCCATAAAAATCCCAAATGTATGGAATTCTGAGAACTTCCATTTTGGTGAACATGTCCACATGCCAGGAGGGTGGTGCACCCCAATTCCACGGGGAGAGAAGCTCCTTTGCTCAGGACCCCTACAGACCTCACTCTCCGTATCCCTCCATGTGGCTGTTTGTCTGTATCCTAAAAATATCCCTTGCAATAAGTCAGCAAAAGGAAGTCAGCTCTTTTCCTGGGTTCTGTGAGCTGCTTTAGCAAAATATGGAACCCACGGAGGAGTTCATAGGAACCTGTGATTTGTAGCTGAGTCAGACAGAAGTTGTGGGTAACTGGGCATCTACTGCTGGCATCTGAAGTGGGGCCAATCTCATGGGTCTGAGCTCTTAACCTGGGGTTCTGCACTAGGTTAGTGTCGGAATAAAACTGAATTGTGGGACCCCAGCGGGTGTTAGAGAGCTGGTTGGTGAGAAAAACCCACACACCTGGTGTCAGAAGCATTACATGTGAAGGAAGACACTGCGTTTTTCCTAGGCACACATAAAAGGAGGCTCTGTATTGATCGGTTGATGAAAATGCGACCAGGGCACACAGGCAGCTAACTCTAGTTCCCCTAGGAGCCATGGGTCAATATTTGTTAATCCAGCGTGTGAGGTGGTTTTCCGTAACACGGTTGCAGCCAGTGGTGTGAATGGGCAGCAGCTGGATCTTGCCGGTGGCTTCACTATCTTGCTTCCTCTGTGTCTCATGTCTTTTTTGTGTGCGTTCCTCTCGTCCTCCTTTGGTGCACTCTTTTGCACTTAGCGAATATTTTCTTAAGCAGCATTTTTATTTCTTTAATGATTTCTCACTATTTTTTTTTTTTAGTTTTTCCTAGTTTTGCTCTGGGGCTTCCATATGTTTATTTTAACTTAGCAGAATCCACTTCCAATTTACACTAAGTCAGTTCCAGTGACGTAAAAACATGCTCCTTTTTGTACAGAGCTCCATCCTCTTCTTGTCCCTTCATGGTCTTGCTGTACATATACTCCACCTGTCAATGTTAAAAACCCCTCAATATATTGTTATAATTATTACCTAATATGCTTTTATGACTTCTAAAAAGCTGAGAGGAGACAGGAAAGCAAGTATTATACTTATAGCTTTTGTTCTCCTCACCTTTTTATTGTTTCTGGTTCCCTTCACACATTCCTGTGGATCCGAGTTGCCATCTGCGGTCATTTCCTCCGCCCGACACAGCTTTGCTCCCACCCGCCTCCCTTGTATTGTCTAATACATCACATCACACCACAGGCCCCGCAATGCAGTACGTGCATCCTGTTGTAGGCAGCTCTTTAGTCAGAGAAGCAAACGACATAAGACTCAATGAAGGAGAAAAACACGGTCCGCACCTTCTGTTGTAATCACATGACCACCTTGACTGGCGTGTTTCGCGTCCTCCTGTGGATCAGAATTTCCGACTGGGGTCGCTTACTTTCAGCCTGAGAGACTCCCCTCAGTGCGTCTTATAAGGTGGGTCTTCCAACATCAAAATCCCTCAGTTTTTATTTATCTGGGAATGTATTTGGACTCATTTGTAGAAAATAACCTTGTTGGATGGAAGATTCCTGATTGACAACTTATTTGGAGTGCATTGAGCTTCCTGGATGTGTAGATTCAAGTTTTTCAATAGATTTGGAAGGTTTTAAGCCATTAGTCTTTGAGAGAATAACATTTCTCCACTGAGGACTGACTATCATGTGGCCCCTAGGACATCCCCCAGTCCCACCCATCAGAGGACAGTGAGGCTTTCAACCCTGAATCCCACTGGCCCCCAACAAGCCCTTGATGGAACCCTGCAGCTCAGAGCATCACCAAGGGCCTTGCCCTTGCCCCTTCAGAGACTCGGCAGAGTATAGTGGCCAAGTGTCCATGAGGACATGAGGGACCATGTCAGATGCTGTGTCCTCACCAGGTCTCAGGTGTGGAACCAAGCACTGAGGCATGAAGCAATGAAGCAAATGCATTGCCCATCGTGGTCATGCCTACTGTGCTAGCCTGCATCCACGACTGTGGCCCCTTCTGTGAGCCAGTGTCTGCTCCCAGGACACTTTCTTCACACCTGCCCGGGGCTCACTCCTGGGAGACGCATGGCCCATCAACACCACTACAACCAGCAACATCAACCCACGAAGTGCATCCTGCCCCAAGACCAGGCCAGCTGAGCATCGTCAGCCCTGTCCACAGCTGGGCATCTCTCCCTTTGCTCAGAGCACAAATTCTAGGATTGCTCTATCCTCATCCCTTCCCTTGGGTTGGAAGGGCACCCCCGCCCCCGCCATGGGATGGAACACAGACTGTCACTTTCAGAAAATCACCTGATTTCTGTGGTCTCTACGAAAGCATCAAAGCACCTCTACTGTCTTTCCTTTGGGGACAAACACAGGTCAGGATAGCCTGAACTCCATTCAGGAGCCTCACAAGCCAGCGGCATTCAGACAGTGACCCAGCACCGGGAAGAGAGCACAACACTAAACACCAACAAGGAAGGAAAGGCTTCACTGAGCCTGTTGTTGGGACAACACACACTCACGGGGGGTATAAAAGCCAGCAGCCTGAGCACCTCACACACACTCACACACACACACACACGCACACCCTCCTCCAGCCCCACCGCCCCCACCATGGCCGCGTCCACCCTGTCCGTCTGCTCTAGCGACCTGAGCTGCGGCAGCTGTGTCTGCCTGCCCGGCTCCTGGGACTCCTGCCCCGACTCCTCCTGGCAGGTGGACGACTGCCCAGAGAGCTGCTGCGAGCCCCCTTGCTGTGCCCCCCCCTGCTGCACCCCCAGCTGTTGCCAGTCCAGCGGCTGCACCCCGGCCTCCTGCCTGACCCTCATCTGCACCCCCGTGAGCTGCGGGTCCAGCCCCTGCCAATCAGCCTGCACCAGCTCCTGCGGGCCCTCCTGCTGCAGCTCCTCCCCCTGCCAGGAAGCCTGCGGTACATCCGTCTGCTGCAAGCCCGTCTGCTGCACCCCTGCCTGCTGCAAGCCCCTCTGCTGCACCCCTGTCTGCTTCACCCCTGTCTGCTGCACCCCTGTCTGCTGCAAGCCCGTCGGCTGGGAGGCCTCCCCCTGCTCAGCCCCCTCCTGCTGCCGGCCCAGCCCCTGCTCCTCTTCCTGCTGCAGACCCTCCTCCTGCGTGTCCCTGCTCTGCCGGCCCATGTGCAGGCCCACCTGCTGCGTGCCCGCCTCCTCCTGCCAGCCCAGCTGCTGCCGCCGGGCCTCCTGCGTGTCCCTGCTCTGCCGGCCCGTGGGCCCCCGCCAGGCCTGCTGCGTGCCCGCCTCGGCCCAGAAGTCCTGCTGCTGACGGGCACATCCCCCCATAGCTAGTAAGGCCAACTCGTACTTCCACCTGAAATATCAGAAGGCTTGAGCCCAGTCTGGGGTTTCCTTTGCCCCAGAGCACCCAGCTCAGCAAGCAAGGCTGAGCCCTCACTGTCTGGCTGGCTCCCTGGGCAGCTCCAAGCTCCCTCCAGGCTCTGTGTCTCACTCAGCCTCCTCCTCTCCATCCTGGCTGGCCTGAGGTCACTTTGTCTTGCCCTATGTGAGTGACCTGTCTGTTGATGAATAAAGTCATTGTCAATCCTTCTCCAAAGGCCTCGAATGCTTATCTCGGCAAACCACAGGGAAGGGCTTGGATGCTGCAAGTGGGCAGGGCTGCATCCAGGGCAACGGCACCCTGGGTAGGGCTGGCCACCTGCACCCGCTGCTGGGCCTTCTGTGGTTGTTGTCCCCCTGCAGCCTCCAGCACAGAGAAACCTGCCCACCTGGGAGACCCCTGGGTGCCCCTGGATACCTTCACCAGGGAGGGCCACAGGGCCACCTGTCCAACCCCTGAGCCTTACATCTCAGGGCTGTGGAGCTTTGCTAGGGACAAAGGAGAGCCCATTTAATAAAGCCTCTGCCTTGAAGGCATGAAGGCTGCTCCAGGACTGGCTTTGGGCAAGAGGGTGGCAGGTCTCTCTCCAGAGACCCTCGGCACAGGGTCGGGGCTTCCCTCCACGGGAGGACACCGGGAGCGTGAGCGCTGTGTGCAGGGATGACCAGAGCCTGCGTCAGGCAGGGTTGTCCAGAGTAGCGGCCGACAGGATGTGCGCATATATGTAACAGAGACATGGATTTTGAGGAATTGGTTCATGTGCCTGTGGAGCCTGGCACATCTGAGATTTGCAGGGCGGGCTTCCCAGGGAGAGTGGAGAGGCTGCAGCTTGAGCCAGAAGACGGGGTGCTGGTAGCTTCCCTTCCTCCTGGGGGGCCCACTCAGCTCCTACGTCCTTCAGCTGATTGGGTGTGGCTCACCTGCTGAATGGCAGATAGCCTGCTTCACTCAGAGTCGACTGATTTAAATACTAATTTCATCTAAAAAATTTCTCAGCAACATCTGTGTGCGTTTGACCAAACAATGGAGCATGATGGCCTGGCCAAAAGGACACATAGAATTAACTATCACAGGGACCAACGGCCAGGGGGAGAGGGGTATTGGGAATGGTGGGTCTTGTTGGGCACTTGACTCAGGAATTCAAGTATTGGAAGAAACAGGGAGGAGGGATTCCCACTGTCCCTGCAGGGCCAGTGCCGGGCAGGTGCCTCCCCTGGAGGGTGCAGGCCTTGTCTGGGCCGTGGATGGCCCCCAGTGGGAAACGGCCTTGTCTGGGAGGCCTCACACACCCTCTGGCCACATTTGAGGGAAACCATGCAACATTGTGATGTAGGAACCCGAGGTCAGAAGGAAGCAGGTGTCCCATGGAGAGCGTTTCCTGGCCCAGAGCACCATGACGCCAGGGTGGCTGGCTGGCCAGTCCCCAACATGGCGTCCCCCTGAGCGTGGCACAAGGCGTGTCCTGTCCCTTGACTCGGTCCTGGAGCCATGTCCGCCTTGTGTGAGCTCGGCTCTGTGAACAGCCACACCCACCCACCTGGCCTCTGGCCTCCTCGGCCCTGTCTGAGCCGGTTCATCTTGGGCCCACCCACTCCTTCCGTGCCAGGTCCTCTGTGGGTCCTCCCCCTCCTCCCAGCAGCACTGCTCTGCACCCAGCCCCACAGAGCCCCCGAGAGCCCGTCCTGCCCGCACAACAGACCCTGTCTGTGTTTGATGGCACCTGCCGAGTTTGAAGTCTCCGCGTGGCCACCACAGCTTTCTGGAACGTCTGCGGCTTCTCGCTCACTGTCTTCTTCCCTGGTGCCTCCTTGTTTGGGGGGAGAAATGGTCCTTGTCCTGGGAAAGCCTCTGTGGGCACGTGGAGGCCTCTGATGGAGGCATCTTCCTGCAGAGGACGTGGGTTTTCTTCTGTCCAGGCTGAGGAGCTGCGACCCGGACACCTCAGCTCCGTTCGCACTTTGGTTTGGTGGGCTGCCCGAGAGGAGCGGTCTGAGCTGCAGAGTGGGCGGGGAGCAGCGGGGGAGCTCGTGGGGACACTGATCCCCACGTGAGGCTGAACCCTCATGGCCTGATCATCTTCGTGGTTCAGATTTCACCTTGCATGTTTTGGGAGACACAAACATTCAGTCTGTGTCAGCTGGATCTGTGGCATAGACCTGGGGACTGGGCAGGTCCCTGGTGTAAGCTCGAGGAGGGACGGGGCCAACAGTGGGTGCCACTCTGCAGCTCGCTCTGCAGGTAACCCCAGGGCGGCCACTGCCATCCGCCCGTAAACAGCTGAGTCTCCGGGAGAGATTCCTAAATGTCTGTCCCAGGGCGGACAGCTGGATCCCTTCCCCAATCTGACTGGTGCCCCTATGAGAACAGGAGGATGCAGACACGCACACCGGGATGGCCGTGTGGACATGAGGGAAGACGGCCGTGTCCACTCGGAGGGGAGAGGCCTCAGAGAGAGCTGGCCGGCGGACACCTTGATCTCAGATCCCCGCCTCCGAGGCTGGAATGTCTGCTGTCCCAGCCGCCTCTCTGGTGCTCTGTGGCTGAGCAGACGTGGCCAGCCCCACCTGGGAGATCCCGTGCTGGGCACCGTGGTCGGCAAGACAGACAAGGTCACTGCCCGCGAGATGCCTACATTCTAGCATGGCCGCAGGGCTGTATGGTGGGGGTCACAACAGATCCAGGCGGCAGGTGGACGGGACGATGCCCTCTCGCCGTCAGGGAGCGGGAGGCTTGGCTCAGTTGGAGGCTGAAACCCCAGGAAGAATTCTGGACAGGGGAGAGTGTGCAGATGGCCAGCTACGAGGGCGGGCGTGGGGCGTTCTCGGAGCGGACAGTCCAGCAGAGCTGGGGTGCGCGGTCCCAGGCACGCAGTGGGACGGCCGATTCCAGCCGTGTCTGTCTTGAAGAGCCTGACGGACGAAACGACGTGGTGCGGTCGCGGGAGGTGCCGGGTTTGATTTGTTCCGCGGGAAGATCCTTTTGGCAGCATCGGGGCAAACGGGTCTCAGTGGGAAAGAACTGGCCACTCTGGGGTGCAGGAAGGGGGTGTGGTGTCCACCAGGCTGACAGATTGCCAGGATGGCCGAGACGCCAAAGTGAGCAGAGCGGGGAGGACTCGGGTGGACACCGAGGTTCTGGCTCGGGAACCCAGTGTGCTGGCCTGGTGGCTCCTTCCCACAGAAAGACCCCGGGGGCAGAGCTGGGTTCGGGGGAGCACGGGCGGTACGTGGACGTGTCAGGATGTGTGGTCTGGAGCGAAGCGCCCTGGGACAGACATTTAGGAATCTCTCCCGGAGACTCAGCTGTTTACGGGCGGATGGCAGTGGCCGCCCTGGGGTTACCTGCAGAGCAAGCTGCAGAGTGGCACCCACTGTTGGCCCCGTCCCTCCTCGAGCTTACACCAGGGACCTGCCCAGTCCCCAGGTCTATGCCACAGAATCACCAAAGTCTCCGAGAACTGTCCTGCATGGTCAGCGCTGCTTCCGAGACAGCTAGGACCTGCTCCCTGCGACGGGCACTATGCTCTCGTGAGAGCAAGAGAAAGACCCGCCCCTGCCTCCCTCCCAGGACAGCCGTCTATGCCCTGGGACCCTCCTGGGACCCTCCCACCCATGCCTCGGTCGAGGTGTGGGTGTGAAAGACCAGCGATCCAAAGACTCCTGGTAACATCAGGGGTCTCGGTACACCGCCCCCCTACTTCTGCCCAGCACATGGCCTCCCCACCGAGGGACCTGACATCCTCCCAGCCCTCCCCGGGGCAGCAAGAGCAGGTCTGCACCTTTCTCCGCCATAACCCTGGACCCTGCACAGACACAGGCGATCCCACCACGGGCCACCACGAGTGTCTGCCACAGAGTCACGGACACATTTCTCCTGGCCCACGACCAGGGCACCTGCAGGTGGAATGGCTTGTCCGCAGCACCACCCGCACCAGCTTCCCCGAGGGCCAAACCGCAGTCAGGCGGCCGGCAACCTACCTCCAGGCCACTGACTCATCTAATTAGGCTTCCCTGGCCCACGGGGACCCCAACAAGGAAGGGGACATGTGAGCCTCCTGTGGGGAAAACACTGGGCAGCGGTGGATATAAAAGCCCTGCATCCCCGAGCGCCTCACACACTCACACACACTCACACACTCACAC